GACATGGCACCTACTTTTTTCGTATCTCTTATAGTTTCTGAGATAGCCTATAATAACACCCAAATTTGCCCACCCTGTACACTGTATATAAGTCAACAATACTAAAAAACGACTGCTGCAAATATAACTTATTCGTGTCTTTTCGACGGCAACTTGTTAAGGTTTTCTTGCAGCTCAATCTTTGTAAAACTCCCGTTGTTGCAGAAATAAGTTTTCTTAATTTATAAGACATTTTTACTCCTATATCGGAAATGTCTAGGTCGCCGATTTGTTCTATTTGAGGGCAATCACAAACGTTGGATGAGAACTCACTTACAGCATCTTTTCCTTCTCTGCTGNAATCATCTCCTTAGGGGTCTTGGCGTTTAAGAACAAAGTGAACGCTTTCATAACGCTGCTTTCTTCAATATTTAAACGTTCCTTCAAAAAATTTATGAAGGACAAAACCACTTCTTTCCTGACTGCCGACCATTCTCGGACGCCAGTGGTAACGAACATGTTACCAATTTTTCGCCTCTTCCTTGCCAAGTTTTGCTCACCCTCACCCGACGCTTCATCATTCACCAGCTTTTCTTCGTAGCCCCATGAAACGGGTTGTCTACCATCAACAGTAATTTTCGCGTTGTTTCTTACAGTTATTACGTCAGGCAAGATTAAATCTCCCTTCTGGAGATGTTTCTGCAAGGTTTGTAAAATGGGAGTAATGTCTGCCATCAAACACGTTTGCTTCCGTTGGAGAGAATTCTCACTATCCCATGTCTTGAGCATTCTTGCTGCAGTAGCTTTTTCACGACGCATGGAAGGTTCCGGGTCGGCTCTCAATTCTTGCCAAAACTGGGAATGACAGATATTCGGGAAACATTTGTTACATTTTCTTCAGTTTTGTGGGAGAGGTTCGAAAATACCTCGAAGTTCCTGTTATATTACTCATCCACATTTTTAGTTCAGGAACGAATTCTAAGGCCGATTCCATTGCTAGGTCAGATCGATAACAGTAACACCATACAGTTAGTAGTTTATGTCCTAGATAAGCAATTTCCAAAGGCCACTTTCTCTTCCAGTATTGGCAGCTTCTCCATCAGTTGTGACGCCAACTAATAATTAAAAGATTTTTCACAAGTGTTGACCGTCGCCTCGAGCATTCCTTTGGCTCCTTTCGATTCTGGCTGACTAATTCCTCTGAAACGACTGCGGAGTACTGTAGGTTGATCCTTGGTAACATACTTAGCAACAACGTACTTCATGTCTTGATTACCACGATCTACACTTCCAGCCGATTTAAACTCGTCACGAAGTTTCTTCTTCTCTGTATCTCCAATAACGTGAAGCATTTCAGCATAAACGACGTCATCCCTGTAATGAAGTGCAGAACCACGGGGCTGAAACTCATCCAGCTGAATTTCCCAGTCATTCGAATCATTCAGCTGGCATTGTATTGATTTAGCACGCATTGCTGCCAATGAACGAGCTGGCCAAGTACGAGCAGTGGGCGTTTCAAGCAAAGAATCGTTGTAAACGTCAATGCATAAGCCAATTAAGTCGTGGACAACCATTGCTCTATGCTTTTTTAAAGTTTTAACCCAAGGGAGTTTGTCGGATTGCTGCTTCCATAATTTCGCCGCTTTCTTTGCATTCATGGCAGCGGCGTGGACGTTGGAATCAATATGATCAATAATCTGCTGTAGCCTTTGCACACCATCTGCTCCAACTCCTGAGGCAATCGGAACAGTCCCATTTCTGGCTACTCTGGAAGCTTCATCTTTATGTTCGTGACAGATTGTGCACGAAACATGTGTACTGTTTCTATTTTTATCTTATGAAATATTTTTTTTAAATAAGGGTAGGTCTTTAGCAGCCATCCCAAATCCAACTTCCTTCCATGATATTGGCTTGTGCCAACGTCAGCACGATCTGTATTAGCTGTAATGGAAGATGTTGTAGTTAGTACATTTGTCATGCATTTATGTGGGCGATTTGCATAGCATAAACATTTAGAAAAGCCGTTCCCGTTCGTAGTTCCAAATTGGTCAAATTTTATTGGCAATTGGCAACGAGTGACAAGCAGGAACGGCGACGGAATTTTTTATAAATCGACCTTTAAAATAGACCCGAAAATTACTTACCACAACTTTCTTCATTAGGGACACAGGTGGAAGGCCTAATTTCTGGTTCAAAAGGAACACTAACTGCACTTTGTACATCTGCAACTTTCTTCGAAAAGAACTTTCGTATATCCACGTTGTTATTTCTTATAAATAAACCTCAAAAATTGTAGTAAATCGAGGTCATTATCATGTTGGCAGCTCTTCTGGACAGTGGTCTATATAAGATGTTTGGGGATTCCCGCAGTTTTATATAAATTCTTAAATTTTATCGTTTGTGCCGTATTTTCTAATTCGGGTGAGTAAAATAATAATAATAATAATAGATATGATATTAAAAAGCCTAATATTTTAAAAAATATCTCAAATTTCTTAATTTTAGCTTCTAAAGTACTCTCGGTTGAGCTATCGAAACGTAGAGTTTTGACAGTCCAAAAAAGGGCGGGCACCTAAAAATTTTTCGCCCGCGGCGCATTTCAGTGTCCCTCCAGTGGAAATTCCTTAAAAAATGCCTTGGCATGATGGATTAAATTTATTGCATTTTGCTTTCTCTTAACTAAAAAGTTTTTTACTTCCCTTTCCTCTTGGTTACGCAAAGGACTCGAGGAAAGGGCTGTTTCAAAATGACTTTCCAAGTCATAAAACCATTCAGCTACTTAGTTTAACCTGACAAATGGTGGCTCTTACCATGTATGATGAGAAAATTACTTTAGAGATTTTTTTTGTGTCCATCGAGCTTTAACCTGTATACAGGGTGATTCACATAAGAACCGACACAGAGCAGGGACATGTAAATGTAAGCAAATAAAAAGAAATCTGCCAAAAAATGAAATTTAAGTAAAACTGTTCTAAAAAATTCAACCTTTTGCTTACAGTCTTAGTTTTTATAAATATTTTAATTATTTTGAACAAAAAATCTACTATATTCTAATAATAATAATAATAATAATAAACAAGTTTATTGTTCACAAAAATCGATATAGCTACATATTATTGAAAATACAAAAAATTTACATATCTAAATTTATGGACAAAAGGTGATTTTCGATAGTCTCCTATCGTTCTTCCACAATCACCCCCTTAAAAATAATAAACATAAACATAGACAAAACAGAAAAAAACATGAAAGAATAATAAAGATTACATTTCAATAAATAAAAAAATAAATAGTTATGCTTAAATAATTTATGGAAAACACAAAACCACAACACCTCAATATCCGTAAAAATAATCATTTATTCCATACAATTCTTACATATGTTAACTCTCTAGTCATCACACATCGCAATTTTACAATACATACAACTATTCTTAGTTTTTTTGTCGTTCTTCCGGGGACAAATTCCACATCTTTTCCTTTTTCCATCCGAATTAGCTTGAGAAGGCTGTTCACTTATTGGTTTTTTTACTATTCTCCCAATATTCAAACGCAATTCTCGAGGAAGCCTTTGATTTGTCAAGCGTCTATTTAAATGGTCTTCTACTAACTGTTGGCTAAGTGTTTGTATAAATTGCAATCTTGAAATATTGTCATAGTTTGGATAGCTTTGATACAGTACAAAAGAGTTGACGGAAGCAATATCTAATACCGCATAAAATACGGCCATGGGCCATCGTCTGGTTCGCCTACTTGTACTGTAATTTGCATACTTTTTATCTAGTGTGTCTACCCCTCCTTTAGTTTCATTGTAAAAAGCTATTATTTCAGGTTTACCGGTAGTTTTGTCGACGCTACTGTTATTATGCATCGAAGAGACCAGAACAACTGCTTTTCCTTTTTTAGGCACGTAGGAAACGAGGGTCACATTTTTGGTAAAACCGTAGAGAGCAGTTCCTGATGGTTTTTTACGATCTGCTAAGAACTCTTGAGTTATTTCTCGTTTGTTTTTCCTCATTGTTCCTACGTAGGTAAGTCCTCTCTTTCGTAACTCATCAACAACTTCTAAAGAGCTGAACCAGTTGTCAGCAGTTACATTTCTGTTTGTATTTTGAATAGGAGCAATTAACTGCAACACGGATTGAGTAGGTATTGAAAACTTATGTTCTTCACTAGACAACATCTGCCCATCACTGCCTTTTCCAGAATAGATATAACCATTATAAAAATAATTGGTTCGTGCATCAGTTAGAATTTGAACTTTGATGCCATATTTGTTAGGCTTATTAGGCATGTACATCCTAAATTGAACATGACCCCGGAAACCAATAAGCATTTCATCAATGCATGTTAGTTCCCCAAGGGAATATTGCTGTTGACAATTGTTTACAAATCTTTTAAAAACCCACGATATCGCTGCAGTGGCATCTTCCTTTTTTCTTTCCTGACGATCTTCTATATTATCAAAACGTAAGCAAGCTAAAATAACTAGTACCCTTTGTAAAGACATTATACAACGGAATATGTCCCGTCCTGTACCATCTGTTGCAAAGAGGGATTGCAAATCTTCATTATTAGATTTGAAAATGGAACTGTAGTACAAGAGTCCAAAGAAAGCTGGAAGTTCTACCATATCCAAATCCTGTAATTCGGGCTTATTGGTTCTTCCGTATCTTTCTCTCATTTCTATAAGTTTTATATTTGTGTACTTTAGAATTTCGGATAATATATCGTTTGTCAGTAGACAAGTCCATACTTGTAAAGGCGTTGCTGAATTTCCAATAGCTTTTGCTTCGCCTCGCAGGCCGGGCAAATGCGACACTATGTTATGTTTTTGCGTTCGAGATCTCTGTATAAGAGGTTGTGATGACCACTTAAAGCGATTTTTTCCGTAATAAGATTTTGCTGTTTCATTTGATACTTTCTCACCTCTACGTGCCACTTCATCATCACTTCCTTCAGAAACTTCAAATTCTGAAGCTGAGTCATGTTCGCTTTCCATATCATGTTGAGATGAATCATCCACATCACTAACATCACTCTCCGCTTCGTTAAACCATTTCATTAATGTCTCTTCATAGTTAGGACCACCATAACGAACAAAATTAGAAGTAGCCATGTCCGATGTCGTAACGCAATTGGTGACGAATTAAACTTTAATCTCCACTGACACAAACACGACTGACTGTATTTTAGTAAAAACGCACAGAACCGTGCAAGTACATCTGCCTTAAAGGTAGATGGAGGGAGCTACAGTGGCGTAACTATAAAATTATGTAGTTGCCGGTAAATTTAAAATTCGCTGGGGTCACAGGGGCACCACGTCATCAGTTAAAGGTTAAAGTAGACATTGATAGCATGGATATATTAGAACTAAAAGCTATATTTCTTTCATCTTCAACTGTGTTTGTTCCAACTACTGTAGGAAAACTAGTAGGGGAAAATGAAAAAAAACACCTTTTTTTTCAGTAAACCTTTTTTATTTTATTTTATACTATAAGGAATTATCATAATATAGAATTCCTATTTTGTTCGCAATAATAAATAGTTATTTTACATAAGCATTAAAATGTAATTAAGCATATTTATTTCCAACTGTTTTTAGAGCGCTTAATGTTTATGTTTTAAAGCAATATTGCAACACCAACGAAGTGATAAGAAATAAACAATTTCCATCACAGAGATCACGGAACATCCAATAAATAATCCTAATAACCCCCCTATGTTTGCGACAAAATCAACTATTCCATATAGTTCGCTACGTTCAGATGGTATAAATTGGTACTCTTTAAAGTAAACGATTAACATTGAATAATCATCGCTGAAAGAAATGAATAAAAGAAATAATTAAAGCAATATGAAATAAAAACTTACTCATTGCTGAAATTTGTAGATGAAATCGCTTTGTGTTGATCTCCATCGTAATAAAGTTCTGATTGAGATGTTTCCGTGTTATAATCAATTGAAGTACACGCCGGAAGACAATTACAACTATCCATATTCGATTTAGAATCATTTGCTGTTGATTCAGGGGTAATAAATTTATATAATTCGGAAACAAGACTCGACTTAAAATCATTTTCGTTTTTAATTTCCTCGCGTTCTTGAAGATATTTTGCTATTTCTTTTATCATCAATGCTTTTTCGGCTATTGTTATGTTTGGGAGATTAACTGGCGAACAAATATTACTATCAATTCTTCCTAAAAACACATTAATATCATCCGTCATGTTGAATATTATTTTTCTTTTTAATTGTAAATCAAATTAATCTTACTGGGCATATAAAAGTTAACACAGCCGAAAGTTTTTTCAATATAATTAGTTAAACATTCCAATTCGCAATTTTGTTGTGTATAAATGTTAAAGTATTCCAATTTTCGTTCTCTTTCAAAATAACATTGACGCCGTTCATAACTATACGATAATAAAGTATTTTTTGTGTTTATCATTTGTGGTGTGACTGCTGCAACTACAGCTTGTTTTAATGGCAATCGAAAGTAATGTAAAGTGGATCTTGGGAATTCTGTTGGATGATGAAGAATAATCTAAAAAAGAAAGTAGTAATAGCGGCGCATTATGTCATATTAAATTATATATTATGTTTTTTTTTCTTCATAAATAATATTACTTTATATCCTCTTAATAAATCTCCACACTTTTTATCATTATACTTTTCGTTAATTTTTAAAACCACATTCAAACCATATTTAGCGCCGGTAAACAAAGCTCTTCTCGGGTAAGCACTTAAAGATTGACCGTAACCGTTTAAAACATTGTAATTTTCAATTTTGTTGAATTTAAAATAATTATTGATGGGTTTCCTAAAAACGAATCGGTTAATAATTATTTACTAAACAGAATTTTTTTGTTAAAACAATTATTACACTTTCTTGGTGAATAATTCTTCGCGATCGATCATGTTGAAAGTATAACAGACTCCTTCGTCTGTTAAAACTGGTTTGAACAAATCGGAACATGTCTTATTTTTCGATTTGCCGTAAACGCAACTTACAAAAATTTCGTTAAACTTTGGTGCGACTTTATTCAAAAATTGGAGGGGTTTATCATCTGACCAGTATTGATCTCCTGTTGTATTTTTTGGTGAGGTACAAATTAGAGATGAATATTCTAATCTAATTTAAAAAGTTACGTATAAGAAGTAATGTTTTTTAATTGTGAATGTATGGTGAAGGCGCCGGAAAGTGTAATTTCTAATTTTTTAACTTACTCTTTCTGAACTGACTCTTTTCGACCCCATTTCCATAACTCTCCAGAATAATTAAAAACGCTTGTATTTAACTTTGCTTCTGGGCAAATTGTAACAGCAGGAAAAGGAATTTCAAAAATAGGTGTTTGTTTCGTTGCAAAACTAACAATAACCGGTGTACTCCTCCATTTATGATAAGTTTTTAAAGTTAAATAACCACAAAGACCCATACAAATTGTTATTGTGATAAACCACCAGAACCTACAACAAAAATTGAATAAAGCCAGTTGTTTTGTAATGTGGAAATTTCAACTTTTCAATCCAACTCCTTTTATTTTCACTCAAATATTTAAAACCATGTATGGAGGTGTTATCACAGTATTCCTGAAAATAAGTTTTCATACGCTTACGGTTTTTTTTTGATAAACGAAAACGCATCGATTTCCAACGATCAACAGGAATCTCATTATCAGACACTAAAAATATTTCAATTTACGTAAAGGACCAAGCCGAAATATTTACTCAACTTACTTTTAAAACTATCTTTTCTTTATTTGAGTTTCAATGTGATTATAGCTACCGTATACGCTGATGATGTAATGTGGACTGAAAACGAAAGAAAAAGTAAATTAAACAAATTATCAATGTCGGGTTATGTGCGTGAAGTACATTCAAAGTAATTTATCAAATGGATATCTCGCGTTAAATTTAACCACTGTGTTGTTTCATGAAAAGTCGATAATTTTCATTTCAAACGAAGGGGAAAATAGTGAATATTTAATATTCATTGTAATTTAGTAAATGAAAAGAAAGTAATTTAATGTAAATTTTATTTCATTCATGTGTTCCCAATACGTTTTATATTCCCAAATAGATAAACCGTTATAATTTTTTTATGTTATTTCAGGAATATGTTGTTTTTTAATTCAACTTTATTATACTTTTATTATTTTTTTATGATACTATTTTTTTTATATTTTCATTTTTACACGATCCAGTGGAGTACCTTGTCAGTATACTCTATAGCTCAATAGCTCGCATAGCAATACAGAAATTTCGAAATCATTTCCTCTCCTGTTATTCTTTTACAAGGTTTATTTATTTATTTATAATCAAAAACCTCATTTACCATTTAATGGTGTCCAGGTGCAATTAATAAACAATTTCAACATTCTGATATAATAAAAATTAATTAACTAAACTATTACAAATTCTCTGCATGCATCACGGTCTTGGGTTAGTATGCTTGCGTCGAGTCGTTCCAGGAAATATTTCTTTCAGCGAAAATCTATGCTATGTTGTCGTTCCATATTTTTCTCAGTTATAGGCTGTATTTTTTAATAATAATAATAATGTTTATTCACGTAAGTAATACAGTATTACAGTGAAATAAATATGTATATAGGTATTATAAGTATAGTAATAAAACAAATTAACTTTGTTACTCCACAAACTGATCCTGCATATAATCAGACCATACATAGTAGGCTTTCTTAACCAGATTAGACTTTACACATTTTTTTTGAAGTGTTCTCGTTCCATAGTTTTCATTTCTTCTGGAAACTTGTTGAAAAATTTAACTCCCCAGTAATCAGTATATCTTTTAGTTGCTTCTATCCTATGTAACGGTAATCTCAGTTAATCTTTGCCTGTTGTGTCGTGTGTGTCAAAGTTTGCATTCGCATTAAATTTACTTCTATTGTCATAAACATACATCAAGGTAGCCAAAATGTATGCACTTGGTACGGTAAGTATACATTCTGTTTTAAATACATCTTTGTAGCTGTCAATAGTTTTAAGATTGCATAAAGCTCTCACCGCCTTCTTCTGCAAACCAAAAATTCTTCCTAAGCCAGGTGCATGACCTCAAACAACTATGTCATATGTCCACTTCATGAGATGCAATTTTGCTGAGACGTCTAATTGTAAAAATTGCTGACGTTAACTTTTTACTTATATCAGTATGTGGATTCAATGTCAACTTGGGATCAAGAGATAAACCCAAGAACTTCACCGCGGGTAAGTTTGAGGGTAATTTCATATCAATGACAATTGATTCTGTTTTATTGATGTTTTAGGACCCAGTATTGATCCCTGTGGTACTCCACTTATTAGTTTAGATGTTCCAGACGTATTATTTTCCCAAAAAACATATTGCTGCCTACCCACAAGATATGATCTAAGGAGATTTAGTTCTTGGCCTCTTATACCATAAAAGTATAATTTTCTCAATATTATATCGAGACTCCCCATATCAAACGCTTTACTTAAATCAAGAAAACTGATTTGCACCGACTGTTGTTCATTCAGAGCGTTTTGTACAAAATCTATAACATCCATTATTGCCGTAATAGTTGACCTACCACTACGATAACCGTGCTGCCTGTTGTTTAGAAGGTCAAAGCGATTTAGGAATTTTAGTAACCTTTTAGCTATTAATTTTTCAAAAACCTTCGAGACTATGGGGAGAGTAGATATTGGTCTATAGTTTTCGCATTCGTTTACATCTCCTTTTTTATGTAATGGCAGCACCTTCGCGACCTTCATCTCTTCCGGAAAAACTCCTTCCGTTACGCATTGATTGAAAATTTCAGCACAACGGATCCGCACATAAATGAATTATTTTCTTCAAAGTATTAACATTTAAACCGTACATATCAGCGGTGCTATTGTTCTTCATCTTATTGACAATATCAATTATCTCATCCAATGAAATCGGTTCAAAGAAAAAGGATCTTACATTATCAATTTTCATTTTTTTCAGATACATTTCATGGGAGGATTATGATGACAATATCTTGCACAATATTGGCAGTAACAGAGATAAAGTAATCACTGAAATCGGAAGCTTTTAGATTAGAAGCTGTATTTGTCAGTTGGTTCTGACAAATACTGACCATCAGTTTGATCTTGTTCATGATGATTGTCCCTTCGTCTACGAGGATCAGTACCATCCTGCCTTAGATACTACAATGAATTTACTGACGGCAAATGATGGTTTGCCGAACTTTCCGTCTTTGGGTGGTCGATATAATTTTCGAAGAGCCAACTTTCCTGGCATGTATGATAAACTACTTTACACGGATTGGTCTTTTCTAGCTGTGGAGGTTAATGCGGATGATGCTTTGCGAGCTTTTTATAAAAATGTTGTATGAGATTTTGGATTTATTTGTTCCTAAGAGATTGAGTCGAGGATCCTCATACCCTATTTGGTACACCCCAGAAATTAAGGGGCTATTAAAGTTGAAAGAGTATTATAGGAGGAAGTGGAGGAGAAGCAATAGTGCTTTCTATTCAGCGGAATATAAAAGACTGAGATGTTTGACTAAACAGAAAATCTCTGATGCGTATACTTCCTTTACTATTAGTGCTGAACAATCGCTTAGTTCTGATCCCCGTAACTTTTGGAATTATATAAGACAGAAAACAACGACCTCTCGACTTCCTGGAAAAATGATGCGTGATAAGTCCACCTACACTGATCCTGAAAAAATAGTTAATGCTTTTGCAGATCAATTCTCTGGAGTATATTCTGGTGTCTCTGCTTATAACATGGTTGATGTACACTCTACGTATCCTCCAGTATTTGTTGCCGATGTCACCGAAGAAGAGGTTCTTCATTTCCTAAAAAGGTTACCTAATAAATTTACTGCTGGTGATGATGATCTTCCTGCATTTTTCATTCGTGATTGCTGTGCAGTTTTTGCAGTTCCGCTTCATTTAATAATTAACCTATCCTTAAGCACTTGCTCGTTTCCTAAACTTTGGAAGCGCTCACGCATTGTTCCTGTATTCAAGCATGGCGAACGTACCAACATTACTGATTATCGACCAATATCGTTATTGTCCAATTTCGCTAAGGTATTTGAACAGATTATTTACAAGATGATTTATCCACAGGTTCAGTCATTTGTGTCACCATATCAGCATGGGTTTATCAAGCGTCGTTCGACCATTACCAACCTCGCGGTGGTTACTGAGGTAATTTGTGAATCTTTGGATAGGGGCGGTCAGGTAGATGTGGTATACACTGATTTTTCTAAAGCATTCGACATGATTCATCATGACGTCCTCTTGTATAAACTTAGTGCTTTTGGCTTATCTCCTAAGTTTATGAAACTATTTGCCTCTTACCTATCGGGTCGTATAAATTATGTGTACTACAACGGTTATGCGTCTATGGAGTTTACGGCTAGGTCTGGTGTTCCTCAGGGCTCAAATCTAGGCCCCCTACTATTTGTTATCTTCTTGAATGACCTTCTAGACAAATTTTCATCAAGCGTACTAGCTTATGCGGATGATCTGAAACTATTCCGACCTATTTTTGCGGACCGTGATGTTGTCAGTCTTCAGTCGGATTTGGACGTCTTGGTGGAATGGTGTAACCGTTATCAGCTAAAGATTAATGCCAATAAGTGCGGTGCGGTTAGTTTTACACGCAAGCTGTCTCCTCTTCCATCTTCTTATTATATAGAAGGTGTTCTTCTTGAGAAACTATCTACAATCAAGGATCTGGGAGTAACTTTTGACCGCAAATTGTCTTTTGTACCTCACATCGAAAATATTGCATCTTCTGCAGCGAGGATGCTTGGTTTCGTTTTGCGCACCTCGCGTGCTTTTTCTGATATCGGTGTGTACAAGACCCTATTTTCGACCTTTGTATTGTCCAAATTGGAATATGGCTCTGTAATTTGGTCGCCACATTATGTGTGTCATAGACTTATATTGGAGAGAATTCAGAGGAGATTTCTCAAATATTTGTCTCTACGCCTGGACGGATCATACCCGGATCGTGGAATGGATTACGCATCCCTGCTGCGGCGTCACAATTTTTCTGCACTAGACGTAAGAAGAGATGACCAGTGCATCAAGTTTTTGCAGAAGTTAGTGCAAGGTGAATTGGATTGTGGTTGGTTGTTGTCGCGGATCATTTTCGCGGTGCCTACGCGTGCAACACGTAGTACAAATCAGTTTTATTTGAGGAATTGCAGATCCAATGTTTTAGCCAACTCCCCGGTGCAGAGGATGTGTAAACTAATTAACAATCAATAATAGTGTAAGAGTGTTTATGTGAATTATATTTGTTTTATGGCATGTGTTATTTCTTATTTTCTTTTTCTTGTAATATTGTCCTGTAATTGATCTTTGTTGGGCAATAAAGTGAATTATTATTATTATTATTATTATTATTATTAGAAGCAATCTTCGCTGTACGGTTGGTTTGACGCTCGTTGTTGATGACATCCCATATGGCTTTGATTTTATTATTAACATTTAAAATATATTCATCCACGGTTCGTTTCTTATTTTGGATAGTCATGTTCATATATTATTTTTTATATTTCTTATATAAGTGCAAACCTTCAGCATCTTTGGTTGTTTGAACTATCACAAATAAGGCATCAAGAGTTTCTTGTAGTTTTTGAGGATTGTTGTATACTCTTTTAACATTTTTTGTAGCTTTTTTAGAAAAGCAGATATCAAACTCAGCCATAAATTTAGAATGAAGTATAGAGAATGCTTCTTGTGTACTGGACACATGAGTTGTTGTTCATTTTATTATACATTTTATTATTGAAAAATTAAATAACAATACGTGTTGGAGACGGGTACATTTACCTTAGTATTTTAGATAAGTCAGCAATATTAGTAAGTAGGTTAAATAGGTTTATTAGCATGTAGAAGGAGAATAGAGTAAGTCGTCGATGCGTTAACACGAAAATGTTAGTTATAAGTATTATTAAATAAACGCAGTTATATAAAATCCAAAAAGTCTTTTTCTCCTCTCTCGAGGAATCTGGCATCATAAATAAGTTGATCATTACACTTGAGCTGTTGTTTTAGATGGGATAGCCCAATTTAAAACAGTAAGTTTATCTATGAACTGTACTATGTTTTTGTTATTATAACATCTTTTTAGCTCTGTTTTAATTTCAGGTATGTTCAAGTTAGCTCTAATAATGGAGTTCCGTATTTTGTCGGTTCTTTTAACTTTTGCGACGCTTCTTAAATACTTCATCTGAACCGCTTCGATTCTGTGTTTTTGAGATTCAGAAAATATCTAATTTTCGCTTCCAAACAAAACCACCGGAAGATATGTTGAATTGTATACACTTAGTAATAATAATAATAATAATAATATATATTTATTAACCCCATTACATGCAAAAGGAATTACAATAAAGAAACTACAAAATAAAAAACAACAAAAAGTAACATAATCAAACAAAATATCAATTAAACTAAATTCCCAAAACTGATCCTTGTGGTACTCCGTTCATGGGCCGCCTTATTGAGGATCTATTCTTGTTCACCTTCCACCAGCTGCTGTCTCTCTTTCAAGTACGATGATAATAGTTTGTGTGGGATGCCCTTAATGCCATAATAGTACAACTTTTTGAGTAGTATATTGTGATCGACAGTGTCAAACGCTTTACTGAGATCACAGCAGGTAAGTTCAACATATTCTTTGTTATCGAATGCGTTTAAAACAGTTTCTATTATATCTATTATTGTTGGTAGTATGGAAATAGGACGATGGTTGCTTATTACATCTACATCTTCTTTTTTGTGTACAGGTATTATTTTTGCTACTTTAATTTTTTCTGAAAAAGTATCTGCCGCAACGCATTCATTAACCCATTAATGCCCAGAATTATAAAAATATTTGTACTCCTTTAATTCCCAAAGGGTCGTTTACGACCTAACCTGTTAAATACCCAGAATTATAAAATCGTTTTTATTCAGTTAATACATACATTTATTTGTGTTTAGTGGTTTATACATGTAAAACAATATAATAAAGTAAGATTTTAGAATTCTGATGTAAAATTAGAACTGGGTCTGTAACGACCCATAAGGCTTCATAAAGATCGCAGCTCTAAGTGGTAATAAAAAACACACTACATATTTAGAACGAAATTTATTCGCAATGGTACACTGAAAAACATTTATCATGCAATGGTACTTTACAGGTTTGGCATGCTTTTGTTGTTTTATTCTTGCACACTTGGCATCGGAGCCTAGGTTGACTCGTTACGATTATATGTCTGCCATTGACTACAGATAACGGAAATCTTACTGATGCTCTTTTTCGCCCCGGTTTCTCACTTTTACTGCCATATGTGTTTAACAAATGGTTTGCAATTTCTCGTCGAATTTGAAGATTATCTTTTTTACAGTTATATTCTCGAGCTAGAATGTAGGCATTTGTTGCACAAACGTCAAGTAAGCAGTATACTATTGGAGTGTACCATTTTTTTCCGCGGAAACCTATTCTATAGTTAGAAACATGATTGTCTAATTGGTCTACACCACCCATATAATTATTATATCATATTAGATTAGGTTGATCTATAGATATTTTCTTTTTATTCTTTACAGAATATCTATAACATTTTTGTAGGGGATTTATTCCATATTTGTTTGACAGCATTGTAACAACATTGTTATCTTTCCAACGTACACATACTATATTATTTTTCTTATCAACTGCACTATCCATAGAACCACGGTCTAGTTTCTTCATTTCATTTTTGCCTTTTATAAAACACTTTTTCGTACGATTATCACGGACAGTTCCAGTTCCTCCAAACCCTCTACTCGTGAGACTTCTAATAAGCTTCGGGGAAGTAAAAAAAACTATCAAAGTACAAGGAAAATTTCTTGTTGTAATAATTTTTTAAAATTTCTGCAAAGGTTAGAACTACAGATTCCTCCAGGCCCATTACTTGCGTTTGTTCGCTTCTTTTTCTCCCCTGGTAAATTTCAAATTGGACACAATATCCTAATTTAAGAGCACCTACCCAAGCCTTGTAACCAAATCGAACAGGTTTACCTTTTACAAATTGTTTACATCCATGTCTACCATAGTGTGGTATCATAGATTCGTCGATGGAAATGTTATTCTCAATCGGTGCGTATCTGAGGAACTGTCGATTCAAACAATCTATAAGGGGGCGAATTTTACCCAGTTTATCATCTTTAGAAATGGTTTCGTTGTTACTCATATGTAAATAACTACAAATTTCTTCAAATCTGCTCCTCCTCATCGCATTAGCGACTAAAACATTGTGTACATCCTCGCTTTGTTCCCAGTACATCCGTCTGCGTGGAAGTGGTACGTAACCACTCAACAGCAGAATACCTATAAAAGTATACAGTTCTTCTTCTGTTAAATTGAAGTATTCTTTGTTCTTTTGTGCCGCATAGGTAGTGGTGTGTTCTACTATCATGTTTACAATTTCAGGCGTTATCATTAATGAAAAAAATTCGAATGAATGACTGCTAGGTCCCAGGGAAAAGGGAGGCAGAAATCGGAATGTTTCTTCTTGGCAGGAGGTGTTAAGGTCCCCTTTTTCCCCTTTGCATTTTACGTACTCTTCCTTGCGCCTCTTTTGGAATGTTGAAAGCGGTATACAGTCTTCTTCATCCCACTCTGATTCCACTTCATCAGCGTATTGTAGTTCGGCTTCAGCTTCTAGTTGGTGACGATTCAAATTATCTGGATCGTTACTCTCTTCATCACCCGAATCGCAATCTGTATTATCGAAATCATCTGGAGGGGTAATGATCACTCCATCTGGTATAACATCATCTTCGTTCAAATTCTCGATAATTTCTAATAATTCTGCTGTTGTTAGAGGCCGTTTCCTAAAGCAACATAAAAGTTATAAAATCCAAAAACTAATAAAATATGTACGTGTACAGCTCGATGGGTCGTTAACGACCCATCTAGGTTATGCGACATAGCTTTGGAATAAAAAAGGTAATATCATCTACATTTATGCACAATTAGAATAGACAGACTTTGTACTACATCCTTTAGTAATGAAAACAGCAAAAATAATTAAAATTTCTTACTTACCATTCATAAAGCGTTGCCATGTTGCACAATTAAAAACACAACCAACCAAAACGTCAACAAAGATGTTACTTTTATTATCTGCAGAGTTCAGGATGAGTGCAGGTGTTCAATAAAAGTTAAGTTTAGTAACTATATGAAGAGATGAAGCGCCTAGTAGTAACGGTATCTATGTAACACAGCTAAAAAGTGTTTGGGTCATTAATGACCCTTTGGGCATAACAGAGTACTAATGTTACTATAATTTCGGGCATTAACGTGCTATTGTACTGTTGGGTCGTAAACGACCCTATAGGCATTAATGGGTTAAAAATGTACGTTAGCGGATGTATAACTTTTTCGATAACACAGGCCGACAAAAATTTAAATGTTTTTTAAACCAACAAGTAGACTATACTATGCCGAAGGTTTTTCACGTTCTAAATCCAAATTTAACCTCAAAAATGCTTCATCACGTAAGGTTTTCAAAATATCTTAGCCAAAATATGTTAAAAATACGGTTTCTGGTCGTATTTGTGGTTATAGTTCACCATGAGGGAATTAAAAAAAAAACGAATTTTTTTTAGAAGTTTTGAAATTATTACCTTTTCCCTTTAAAACTCTTTTTCAATTATTCAAATATCGTTTTTCTTCTTCGAGATATCATCTGTTGAAATTAATAAGTACATCGGTTTGCTCTGTCCTCGATAAACTGATGTTGAGTTACATCAAGTTAGCGATGCTGACGCACAGTAAAACAAATATGCGAAACTGTGATCAAATATCTAAAAATGAAGCTTTAAAGTTGAAATTTTTAACCGTGCATTTATCTTTTAACCAGGAGGTATTCAATTGAGAAACTGGACATTCAAAATGCAGTTAATTTTTATGAATTTATTTGGTTTGTTAGCAAAGTTATAGTTTTAATGGGAAAACTATAGCAGTATTTACAAAAATAAAACGATTGTTTACGAGATTTATTCATTCAAAAAGGGACAATGTACATATTATTTTTTATTTAAGCTCTATAGCGTTTTATAAGATGAAAATCACAATGAAAAAGACAGTGATTATGAGGATTCTGTTAGTGCCAAAGACCCTGAACTTTTTGATCAAGATTCATTAGATGATCTTATTCGCGATCTTAGTCTTTCTAAAGATTCAGCTGAATTATTGGCTTCAAGACTTCAAGAGAGGAACATGTTGTTACACGGAACAAAAATAACAGCGTACCTACAGAAAAAGAGATGAGGAATGTCTGAAATATTTTTCTAGTGAAAATTCCTTAGTTTATTGTAATGATATAGAAGGACTTATCAAATACATATCAAGTAGGTGTGTATAAGTCCGATGACGAATGATGATGAATTAAAGATAAAACGCAAATACGTATAACGCTGTTAAGTTTAAGTGGCATAACCTGCTTTTTGTGATTTCTTGGTGATATGCGTATTTGAGAGAATGCCGTTTAATCGCTTTTCTTTGCTGAAAAAAGGCGATTGATGTTTTTCTTCAGGGTCGCATATAGGTCTTGCTCTGGAGGCTCATTGATTATATCAACGACGGTGTTTACAACCTCGGTGAGTAAGTGAGTGAGAACTAAATTGAACTAAATTGTCCTTGATTTTGTCACTAGTGACACGTGACAATTCGATATGTGCTTCGATTATGAAACCAAGTATCAGGTAGGAACTTTGAGGTTCACTTAATATGCCATGTGGCAGTAACAATAGCATCATCCGTGACTCCGTTGTTAGTAAATTATCATCGATTGTCGGTAAGCTATCCAGCTCAGGAAGATTCATTTCCACTTTGGTAAGATCTTGAAAGCTATTGCGCAACCAATCACTAAGGGGAACCTCCCAGTCATCGTAGTCAATATTTTTGTACTTCTCGAACCATTGAACTAGAGGTAAATCATCGTCCGAATCAAACTCGTCGGCTGATTTTATCAGACCTGCATGTCGAAAGCAGTTTGTAATAGTGAAAGGTTCCTTATCAGTCTTAAGTCTTAAGGCACTGAATTACGCCCTGATCCATTGGGATACTTTAACTTGATATTTGTAAGAATAAGATTTTTTGTATGAGCTGCGCAATTATCAACCAGAAGCAATATTCTTCTATTCTCACGTCTTAATTTTCCATCCCAATCCTTTAGATAATTTGCAAAAATTGCTCAAATCATCCATGCTCGCTTGTTTGAGTTATAAATAATAGACAGGTTTTTTCATGCATCTTAGTCGTTCATATTTGCCAATAACAAGAAGTTTAAATTTTTCAAAACCCGTCATATTTGCACAAACCCAAGCGGTATAACTCAACTTCGAATGCTTCCCTCCCGCACACTTTTCTCCTGTAAATTTAAGGGTACGATCTGGAATCATCTTATAAAATAGCCCAGTCTCTTCTCCATTAAAAATATCCTCGTAGCTGTGATTTTACATAACTCTGAGCCACTTCTCCTGTAACCAGTCTCCAGCCTCACCACAAATCTTCCCGGTCTTTATGTTGTGAGGAATTTTAAAACGTTCGAGCCACCTATATCTAGAGCAACTAAAATTGTCACCCTGCAATCCCATAGACAATGCTTCAGCTTTTGCTCCGAGAATTGGAGACAAGAAAAAGCTTGATCTACATCTTGACGCACAGAATTTCCAATTTTGTTAATCCTGTGTGATTTACTTTCGCTTGGTTTCTTGATTTTATCGCGATTATTCCAAATTGTAGGTATTATTATTTTTGACAAATTTTTTTCGTCTAGCAATTTCCATTTTCCCAATATCACTCTCAATACTTTTGATAATCTCTATATTTGAGATTTGTTCTTCAATTTTAACGCTTAATAAGTTAATAAAGTGTTAACTTGTTATTTCCTCTTAAACTTAAAAGAATTTTATTTAAATAGTTACATTTAAAAACTTAATACTTCACGATATGACCTTTTTGTGAACTCTTGTAAAATTAGTCTCTGAGGATGGCCATGAGCCGAAACTAGTAAGACTTAATTAATTAATAAAACCAGTTTCAAAAGTACAATAGAGAGAAAATTAAATTTAATTACCTTTTCACAAATTAAACAACTGGTAAAATGGATTTTAATTATAATTATCTTGTAAATTTAGTTACCTTAGTTTATAATACTATAATTCTGTTTGTAGTTTCCATCGGCCTCATAATATGAGTACCATAGAATTTATTCACTACTTTATGGTTCAATTTTAGGTTTAAGGAGAGAATTATTATTTCTCTTATTTGTTGTTATTATTGTTCATTTTCATTTTTTTTAGTCTGCAATTTAGTCCTGCATTCCGAGTGGTTGGTATGCTTGGGTCAATGTCAATGCTCTTGGCGTCACAAGTGCTTACTGCAACCGTTTATTACCAGCTATTGAATCTTTTAACCTGAGTAAAATTATCTCATCTGCTACCCGTGTCACTGCTACATCGGCTACACTTATTGACTATATTATTGTGGATGTAGATGCTTCTGTAAACGATACAGGAGTCATTTCTGTGCATGATCTTGCAGATCATTCTTTGGTGTATGTGCACTTAAATTTGTCTTATCCTAAGGCTTCACCTAGGATATTGAACTATAGAGACTTTAATAATTTTAATATGGATTTGTTTTCTCTTGATCTTCTTGCAGTGCCATGGCAGGATATACTCGGTTGTGATAACATTAATGATAAGGTTAACCTCTTTAACTTTTTTATACTTACTCCTTTTGATATCCATGCGCCGATGAGAACTGTTACAACAAGAAAGAATTTTCGACCTTGGGTGACAGACACTATTAAAATTTTAATTAAACTTAGGGATGATGCATACAGTAAATTTAGAAAAACGAGTAATCCCAATGATTTTAAATGCATAAATTTAAAAGCATATCTCTCATATACGTTAATCAAGAAATATTATCGTGAACTTTGGCACAGTTTCCGTTGCATGGGTATCCTTAATACTAAACAACGCTCAATCCCTGTCTCTACAGGCAATCCTGATCAACTTAATTATTATTGCCTTAGTACTCAGGGAAGTGTCCGAGGTGATGCCAATTTCTTTCATTATTACAAATCGAATGTATTGCCTAATATAACTGAACCGTTATCATTCACTCTCGCATCTGAGAAAAGGGTTTCAGATATTCTGTACAGTATTAAAACAACTACAATCGGTATTGACGGAATTAGCCCTAAAATGTTGTCCGGTTATCATTCCTTACATTTGAAACATTATAAATTATTGCCTCGAACATTCTGTATTTCCGGAACTTTGGAAGATGACGCAAGTGATGCCAATTCCAAAAGCTGCTAACCCTCGTGAACTTAAAGACCTCAGACCCATTAGTATATTACCCATTTTATCTAAGATTTTAGAAAAAAATATGGCTATTAGACTGAATCACCATTTAAAAAGTTTTAATATCAGTCTGGTTTCCGTGCTGGTCACAGTTGTACTACGGGTCTCCTCGACGTAACGGATGATATTCTTAAGGCAATAGATCGAAAACATGCTGCGGTTTGATCTTGCTGGATTTTTCTAGGGCCTTTGATACCATACACCACCCCACGCTATTTGCTATTCTCCACTACATTGGGCTTTCCGTAAGTGCCATAAATTTTTTTGGAAACTATCTTCTTAATCGGATGCAAACTGTTAAGCTTAACAAAAAAGAGTCATCAGCAGTTGTAGTGTCGTCAGGAGTACCACAAGGATCAATTCTTGGTCCCTTACTTTATTTAATCTATACTAGTAATTAGGAGAAAGAGTATGGCGAACGAGTAACATAGTTACGTACTTGCTCCGCATATAAATATTATTTTTGGTGATATTTTCCTTGTTAATAAAAGTGAAACTAGTTATTATCGGTAGTGCTTATTGTGACAATGACGGATAAGAATAAAGAGAGAACCAGATTGGCTTCTGAAAGGAGAGATTTAATAAAATCTTGTATATTAGATATTGTGAAGGATGATAGTTTTGTTAAAGTTTTACGTGAAACGATCGCGAAAGAAGTTGATCGAGTTTTTGAGGAGAAGATT